CGAAGGTAAACTCTATGGCCCCATTGTCCTTGGGCTTGCCCTTCAGTTTCTTGGGGTCCTCTACCCAGAGCCTCAGGGCAATGGTGGACTTCCGGCCGTGGTCCTCCTCAGCCAGCTCCACCCTCACGCCCGTGTCCTCCGCGAAGAAGGCGTGGCTGAGCAGGTCCTTGATCTCGTACCTGGGGAGGGAGCAGCTGAGGGCACACCTGCTGGGGCGGAGGCCACCCGCTCTCTGGACCGTCTGGACCACCTGCTCGACTGCTCTGCCTCCAGGGGGCACGGAGCAGCTTACCATTGCCCGCCCTGCCTCCTGGGGGGACAAGATGGCTCCTGACACATCTCACCGGGCAGCATTTGAGGCTCTTCTCTAATTATAAAGAGAAAGCATGCCCAGGGTGAGAGCCCAGGAGCCCAGGGAGGGCCGGTCAGCCAGGCTCTGCGGTGCGGACACGGGCCGCTGTGGGGCAGGGAGCCCGGTGTCAGACACCTGGCTCCATAGGACTGAATGGGACCTGGAATCTGGAACCATATTCAGGGGTTTTCTGGAAGCTCCTCAGGACAGGGCAGGTGCAGCGGCTGGGCGTTGCCATGGTAACCACTTTGCCCCCACTACCACCACCACCATTCCAAACACTAGCTGCTATCTGGCAGGAATGGATCCATGCACTGTCCCAACACAGCCTCCACCAGGGTCAACTCTGGTCACCACGGCTGCAAGCTCCAGGGCCCAGCCCTGCGGGGCCGGCACACGCAGGGGACCGGGCGAGGTCCTGGCTAGGAGGTGGTCTCACAGGGTCTGTGCGAGGATTCTCCCACCCTACGTGTGTTCCTGCACTGTTCTGATAGGGGTTATAGCTCACACTTTTTAGCATTTCTCCTTAAACGAACAAAACATGACAACCTGCGGGGGAGGAGAAGTGCCCAGGGACCAGGACAGGGCCCTGCCCCAGAGACGGTGGCTGTGGAGAACGGCAGTGACCAACCCTGGGCACAGTGACTGAACACGGGGCTGGGAGGCGAGGGCTGAGGAAGAGGAGGAGGACGGGAGGGGAAAGATGGGCAAGAAAGGAAGGGCAGAGGAAGGCAGAGGAGAGGGGCGCAGGGGGAGGGAGGGAGGAACGGATAGAGGGGAAGAAGGAGAGCTCAAAGCACAGCCTCGTTTCCTGCTGAGCAGCTGAGGGAGAGGCCTGAGAACACCTGAGGAGGCGGGCGGTTGGGCGGCCTCCCGGACTCGAACATGATAAGCTGCAGGAGGTTTGGATGGATCAGACACAGATGCATGGGATGTGCAGCCTGGAGTTCAGGGGAGAGGGCAAGACGAGCCGCACAGGGAGGCTGGGCACGGGGAGGCTGGGCATGGGGGCGTCCTGCAAGCTGGAACAGACGGATCCACCAGAGAAAACAGAGAAAAGGCAAGGGGCAGAGCGAGGCCGCAGGAGCCCCCTGGTGGGCCGGAAGCTCCCCGCAGATGGAGAGGGCTCCAGGACAGTCCCCAAGGTCAAGGAGTGTATTCCAGCGCGTCCCACTGACTGCAGCGGGCTGGCGCCCGTGGCCCAAGCTCTCTGCAGGCCAGCTGGAAAGATTTCAGCGGGCCCAGTGCCGCTGGGAACTCACCTCTCCTCCTTGTTTTTGCAGATGCACTCCCCAATAATCTCCTTGATTTCGGGATCGTGCACTTTCTCAAAGCTGGCCGGCTTGATGCCCTGCAGAGATGAGCAGCGTCACCTGATGCGGAAGTGGGCTCTCCAGGGCCCCCACTCTCCTCACACTAACCCCGAAGACCAGGCAGGAAGTGCACCGGCTTCGGGTGGGGACCGGTGGGCGTGAGCTGGGGAAGGAAGTGGGGACCCTCACCCACTTTGGTGAATGGAGGAGGCGGGGCTGGTGGATCTGCCCGAGGGTCTTGGAGGCTGAAGGAGGAAAGGCCCCTCCCAGGCCAGCCTTTCTCCCACACGCTTGCTCAGGCGCGCTAAGGGCAAGATCCGTAGTCACTGCGGCTGACGCAGGGCCGCCGAGACCCTGGCCCACTGAGGGTTGATTTCCCAGGCCCGTAGCTCAAGGCTTTTGCAAACGACTGTGCTATTCAGTTCCACCATCCAGTTCTGTGGCAGCGACCAGGCCAGATGACCTTTAGGCAGGGGTGCCAGGGTGTGCCAAGCATCCACACGGGCCAGCGCCCCAGTGGGCAGTCACCGTGCAGCCTGGCCACGGTGCGGCAAAAGCCCACAGTATTGCAGGGGCGGGGCCAGACCGCAGGGTTCTCTGTCATCTGCGGGAGCGAGGGGTTGCCTGAGGGACATCCGGTGGTTAAACATTTAAACACACTGAGGGCTCAGCCATCATGTTCTTTCTCCTTCAGCAAGACCCCCCTCCCAGGCCCGTCCCGATGTCCTTTTTCATGTATAGAATGGGGAGCGCATTTTCCCACCATGAGGGGGGACAGACCAGAAAATGCCCCACAACTCCGCAGTCCAGGTGAGACCCCACTGCACCCACCAAACCCTGACCCCCAGGACCACACCCGTAGCCAATGGGGGTCGTGCTGTGTCTGACGCGGGCGGGCGAGAGTCTGATACGGGACCCTGGGCTTCAGGAGCGGAGAGGGCTCCCCGTGGAGGCAAGAGCTGTGCCTCTCCCCGAAGCCACAGAGCAAGAGGCTTCCCGCGGCCGGGAGGAAGGGAGGACCCTGTGGGCGGGTCTGAGGAACCACCACAGGCAGGTGGGCACACTGCCACTTACATCTGAGAAACCGGAGCCCCCAAAGCCGGTGAAGACTGTGCCAGAAGAACAGGGCACGGCTCTGGAGGGGCCATGTCTGGGCTCGTTGCACGGAGCCAGGGGAGCTGAAAGCCGAGGGCACAGTGATCCCCCCGAGCCTGGGCCGAGTGCGGGTGCACAAGGAGTGAGCTGACGGCAGGAGCACGGTGCCACTGGCCCGAGGACCCACTGAGGGTCAGGAACACGCTGCCCGCTGCCTCCTCCGGGACGTGCTGTCTGGCTGTGCCTTGCTTTCCCAAACCAACATGGGTCCCACAGGCGCCTCGGGACCTGGCCATGGCTTGTTTCTGGGGCCTAACAGGGCAATGGGGCTGCTGGGAGAGCCAGGTGTCCGAGGAGCACGCCCTCGGGGCTCAGCCCATCTCCCCAGGCCAGCAGGTGGACCAGAACGAGAGTCTCCAGGCGGCTCCTCCCACACCCAGAGCCAACACCAAGGCCCCGCCGTGAACCTGCATCTCAGGCCCCGCCATCCTGGAGGAACTGCCCACAGCCTTTCCTGCCGGCAGCACAGGGAGCTGCACCCAACTGTGGGTCCTGACCCGCCCCGGGGCATCCAACCAGAGCCCTGCTCTCCTCCTCAGAGCCCGAAGCCCGAGCAGCACGCAGGAGGGGCTCAGAGCTCACGCGTGACCACTAGCTCAGAACTGAGAACCAAAGGCGAGAGCCAGCGAACCCCAGGCTGGCTCGGGAGTGTGCAGTGGGCTGGTGCTGGGGTGGCAAGAACCAGGCTCCTCTGCAGAAGCCAGGAGCCTACAGAAGGGAGTGTTCTGTCTGGGGGAGCCCGCCCAGTGCTGCAGGCAGACAGGGACCGACTAGGGCCCGGAACAGCCACGCCCGCTGCGCTCCCCCAGGCAGAACGGCTGCAGGGGAGAACGCGTGGTCTGTCTGATTAAATCCAGAAGACACACACGCCCGCGGCCCCTGGCATGGCCCAGAGGAGGGGCTCCAGCCTTGCAGCGCTGAGGCCCTGGCAGCCCCGGGCACTGCCCGCAGCACTCGCATCACTGCTGCTGCGGCTCCACCTGCAGCTGGAGCCCGAGCACCCCGCCTTCCCCACCGGAGAAAGGCGCGGCCCTTCCCCTCAGCGCTGTGCTTTCCGAAGGCCTCGCGCGGCACTCACACAGGTGACCTTGCGGTAGATCTGCGCGGCGTTCTGGCACTCCGAGTAGGGGTACTCCGAGGTGGCCATCTCCAGCATGCACATGCCGAAGGCGTACACGTCCACGGACTCATCGTAGTGCTCCTCGTACATCTCGGGCGCCATGAACTCGGGGGTGCCTGTGCCGGGCAACAGGTGCAGGTCAGCGGTCAGCGGCCCAGAGCCCCGCCCCATCCACGTGCCGGGCAGCAGGTCCCGGAACCCTGACTCAAACAGGACTGTTCTGTAGACAGAGGTTCCCGAAAACCCACCCAGGACCCTCCTGCTTCTGGCTGGACCAGCCCACAGAGCTGGGAAACGCTGGGTGCCTCTCAGGGGCAGAGCACAGCCCGCACTCCCCTCCGCAGGCCCAGGGAACCAGAGCAGACAAAACCCGTGGCCACCACAGAACTGCTGAGATGGCAAAAACCCAGAAGAGCCCCAACATCCCCAGACAGGCCCATCGCACGGCAGAGCGTGGGCAGCAGACCAGGACGGCACAGCACGGCATGGGCACTGGCTGGCAGGTACCAGGTGGAGACCGTTCATGCGTTCCAAGACACAAGGCTTTAAAATGATGTTCACTCTGAATTAAGGCCGTGAAGACTTACCACAGGCAGAGCAAAGTACACAAAACACACACGTGTGCACACGCTGACCTCACAGTGCGCGCCCATGAGCACAGACGGGACTCATCTGGCAGCTGTGACAGCGGTTTTCCTTAGTGACACTGGTCTAGGTTTTTTTAGTTTTTCTGTAACAAATTTTTGCTCTAATAATCACACTCCTTTTGTGAGAACAAGTCCAACTGAGCATCTGTCAAGCTAAACACAAAGGGGCATCCTCTTCAGTGAGGCTACTTTTTAACTTCTCCACTGACTATGGGAGGTTTTCTGAAGGTCCAAGTTTGTTAAAAAGCAGTTGCAAAATACCATGAACTAGCTGTTGTGTTAGAAAGCATATGGCGGGAGGGGGGTTGTCTTCAAAATGTTTATACCGCAGCCCTGGCCTGCGTGGCTCAATGGTTGAGCATCGTCCCGTGCACTGAAAGGTCACGGGTTCGATTCCCGGACAGGGCACATGCCTGGGTTGGGGGAGTGCAGGCGGCAGCCAACCAATGATTCTCTCTCATCACTGATGTTTCTATCTCTCCCTCTTTCTCAAAGCAGTGGAAACATGTCCTCAGCTGAAGATTTACACAGCTATCTCTGTGGTGTCTCACGGAGCCCCACTGGGAGCTCCTGCAGCACGTTAGTGAGTTCCAGATGTCCTGAACCCCATAAAGAGCTGCCCCAAAGCCCCTCCAAGCTCTCTCTCGGCAAAGCCAGGAGGGCCACTGCCTGAGGCCTAGACCCTGTGGACAAAGAGCACCCCCTGCTGGCCAGGACCCCACTCTGGCCACACTCAGAGGCCAGACGCACCTGTCTCCCCTGACTGCAGCCAGGGCCCTGGCCGCTGTGGCTCAGTGGTTGAGCATCATCTCATGAACCAAAAGGTCGCAGGTTAGATTCCCAGTCAGGGCAATGCCTGGGGCTGCGGGCTTGATCCCCAGCAGGGGGCGTGCAGGGGGCAGTCAACCAATATTTCTTTCTCTCCCTCTCCCTTCCTCTGAGGGCTCTGCCCAGAAAGGCTGCGGAGTGGCTCTCAGAGGAGGAAGAGAAAGGCAGAGGCTGCCAGAACTGGTTTGGCTCAGCCAGTGAAGCCCCAGACCCCGCACTGAAAGGTCCCAGGTTCGATTCCGGTCAAGGGCATGTACCTGGGTTGCGGGCACATCCCCAGTAGGAAGTGTGCAGGAGGCAGCTGATCGATGTTTCTCTCTCATCGATGTTTCTAACTCTCTATCTCTCTCCCTTCCTCTCTGTAAAAAAAATCAATAAAATATATTTTTAAAAAAAAGAAAAAAAAAAAGAAAGAAAGGCAGAGGCCAACACAGCCAGTAAACCGCATCCAGTGAAGCCCCAGACCCCGCCCACCCAAACCCTTGTTCAGTCCAGGCCCCAAATACCTCGGTTCCCCACCTGCAGAGGGCGCTCCAGCCTCACCAGCCGGAGTCCCCGAATCGCTCTGTTGTTCAGGCCGCCTTCCTGCTCCTGAGCGCCACAGCCCACAGGCGCCAGCCTCACCACCTGACCCACAGCCCCACGCAGGCCCGGGAGGCCACAGCCTGGCTGAGGGGAAGAGGGGGCAGAGGGGGTGGCAGGGCCTGGGAGAGCTGAGCTCACCTATCACACTTTTGGCAAAGGACGCTCTCTTGAGGGTTGCCAGGCCCAGGTCGCCAATCTTGACGGAGCCGGTGGGCCCAGTGATGAAGATGTTGTCACACTTGAGGTCCCGGTGGATGATGGGGGGTGTCCGGGTGTGCAGGAACAGCAGCCCCTTCAGGATCTGCCGGCACCAGCTGCGCAGCACCTTGGGCTTCATCACTTTGAACCGCTTCAGGTACCTTCGGGGCGGGGGGGGGGGGCTGCCGGTCACCAGCTACTCATGTGTGAAAGGGCCTCCCACTGCGGCGGGCCATGCATTTGTCACCCAACAGGGCACCCTGTGAGACAGGAGTGCTGACCAGACACCAGGCAGGACCACCGGCTGCTGTGGGCCCCGCACCCTGGGCCGAGCCCACCCTGAGGCCCCGGTGGGCCAGGCGCCCAGGCAGGCGACACACTCACGTCTTCAGCGTCCCGGAGGTCATCAGCTCCGTCACCAGCACGATGCACCGCTTCCCCTTGGCGCTGGACTCCCAGAAGTCATAGAAGCGCACGATGTTGGGGTGCTGCAGGCCCTTGAGCATCTCGGCCTCCTCCTTGAACCGCTGCCGCTCGAGCTTGGTGAGCTTCCGGTCCTAGAGAGACAGGCACAGCTGAGCGGGACAGGGCATGGCCTTTCACAGAGCCTGCTGATCCCAGGGGGTCACTCCCTCATTTCCTCCTGCTCAGGGAGCACAAAGGAGGGGGAGGGGGAGGGGAGAGCCCACCCTGAGGAGGAGCCCCTAGCTCATCAGAAAGAGCTCTGCCCTGGTGGGTGTGGCTCGGTTGGTTAGTGTTGTCCAGGGCACTGAAGGGTCACAAGTTCAATTCCTGGGTGAAGGCACATACCCAGGTTGCGGGTTCAATCTCTAGTGGGGGCACACACAGAGGCAACCGATGGATGTTTCTCTCTCACATCGATATTTCTCTCTCTCTCCCTAGATTCAATGAAAAACATATCCTTGGGTGAGGATTAAAAAAGAAAAAGATCTCCAGAGCCAGAGCAACCTCCAGCCACTGCAGTGCCAATGCTCCCCTCCCTGCGCACACCGAGGGTGCCTCCTGGCGCACCTGGGATCTCGCGCTGCTGAAGGGAAGCACTGACATGGGACTCTGAGGGCCGGTTCATGACCACAGCATCACAACCAGAAACCAGGAGAGACCAGAGCCAACGGCAGAGGAGGAAGGCCAGGGTCCCAGCCACGCCCACGTCGGTGCTGGCACAGGCACACATGCTGCACCCACACCCTCAGCACGTGACACACTCCAGCACCCTGCCCAAAGGCTACACCTGACCCGCGCCGGCCACCACCCAGGCCCTGCCTCGTCCATCCCAGCAGCCTTCTGCGTCTAACTTCGCCTCACAGATCAACCTCACCTCCGCAGGCCCCAGCACGCTTCTCCCACATCCTGAGCACATGGCCCCCAATGTCACCTCGGTCGCAGTCCAGCGAGCCTGCAGAGCCTGGCAGCACACGCCTGGCCCTCCCACAGAAGGAGCCCCAGGAAACAGGAACACAGCTGTGAGTGAATGGGGAGCTTTGAGGAGTTGCAGGAAGCAGAAGAGGTGCATTTGGACAGATGGTGGGAGAAATCAGAGCTGAAAGGAAACACAGGCCTGGACTCTGGGGATATTTCCAAAAGAGCCCAAAGGCATAAAGATTCCAACAAATCCAGAGAGGAGGTGGGGAGGGGCTGGGGTCATATAGAGGTCATCGGGTTACAGGATTCTATCCCAAGTGGTGCTCTGAGCGTTAGGCACCCTTCCCCACAAACCAGCCCCATCCCACAAACCCCCATCAGCCTCGCCATGCCAAGTGGGCCCAGCTGGCAAGAGCACCCCAGAGCAAAGGAATACCAGGAGAAAACAAAGACAACTTCGAGAACATCTAGCTCATGTGCTCGAAGGTCCAAGAGGCTGACACACATAAATGAGAGCAAGTTTCTACTGAAAAAGGAGCAATCAAAATTCCCAGAGAACCAAGATGGCTGCGCAGGTACTCGCCACCTCCCACAACCACATCAAAATTACAACTAAAAGACAGAACCACATCATTCAGAACTGCCTGAAATTGGGTTGAATGGAAGCCCAACAACAAGAGAAGTAAAGAAGAAAGCACATTGAGGCTGGTAGGAGGGGCGGAGGCACGGAACAGGCTGGTCCAGCACCCACCTGTGGTGTTTTTTAAATCAGAGGGAGATCTCAGCTGCAAAGGCCTCCCATGTGGAGCAAGGGGTCCCAGCTCAGGGTTCCAGAGCTGAGAAGAGAAGTTCCTATAACTCTGGGCTGTAAAAACCAGCAGGGATTGTAGCTGAGTGACACAGAGGCTGCTGGAGACCCAGGTGTTCCTCTTAAAGGACAAGGCACACGGACTTACACGGAATCACATCTTCTGAGCTCCAGCACCAGGTGGCTTGGGGGGGCCCAGGGACATACGAAGAGGAACTAGACTGTCTGGTATTGGAGCAGGAACTCAGGGGCAGCTTTCTCCCAGATCAGGGAGCTTACAAGGGTCATTGTTCCTGTGCTGGGACCTCCTGTGTCACAGAGCTGACTGGCAGCCATATCTGAGTTTTCACTAGCTGGAACACACTGTTCACTCCGCCCTGGTGATTCTGAGACCTTGCCCCATCCAATTTGCAGCCCCACCCAAGCTGTTTGCAGTGGTTTTCCCATATGAATGGCCTATCATGGCTCAGGCTTCAGACTTTGCTAAAATCTCTCAAACAAGCAGTAGCTGGTGTCAGCATGCCCCAAACATATCAGTAAGAGGCTCAAGACTCAGCACTAGCACCAGCCTGCCTTGCTTCACAGCTGGGCCTTGTGTGGGCACTTATAAGCCCAATACAAGTAGCAGCCTCTGCAGACCTCTCTGTATCTATTGCTGGGTGGCCCCAGGCAGTGGCTGACTTAGCACCTCCTGAGAGGCCCTAGAGCCAGTGCACCAGGTGGACAACTTCAGACCATACCAGACTACAACTCTACACATCCACAAGTGGCACACTCAAAAGGCAGACTCAGTGAGCACCAAAGCCCCAATGAAGCAAGTCCTACTCCATAGGGGTGCCTCCTACACAGCCGCTCTTCCACTGTATTCCCAGCTGCTCCTCATAGCCAATTGACCTTCAGGCCAACAGCAATAGAGGTTCAACTACAAGACTGTACACTAAGCCCACACAGGGGTGCACCTAGAGTGCCCAGCTCAGGTAACTGGGGAGGCTGAACACTAGGCCCTACAAAACATCTACTATACAAGGTCACCCTACCAATTCTAGGAGATATAGCAACTCTACCTAATACATAGAAATAAACACAGGGAAGCAGCCCAAATGTGAAGACAAAGAAACATGTTACAAATGAATGAAATGGAAGCAAGCAAACTACTGGATACAGAGTTCAAAACCAATAGGTTACTCAAGGATCTTGATGAGAGCTTCAAAGGACTCAAAGAGAGCTTCAAGGGGCTTAGTGAGACTTTCAAGGACCTTCGTGAGAATGTCAAAGACATAAAAAAGGACCAGTCAGAAATTAAGCATCCACTAACTGAAATAAAAAAAATAATTTACAGGGATTCAACAGTAGAGTAGAGGATTCCAAGAATCAAATCAACAATTGGAATATGAGGAAGCAAAAATCACCCAATCAGAAGAGCAAAAAGAGAAAAAATAATCCAAAAATATGAAGATAGTGTAAGAAGCCTCTGAGACAACTTCAAACGTACCAACATTCGCATGGGGGGGGGGGGGGAGTGCCAGAAGGAGGAGAGAGAGAGCAAGATATTGAAA